TTTTGACATACTTGTCAAAGTACTGAAAATATTTTTAGCTCAATATTTGAATAATATCACAAGGAAAAAAACTGACTGACTGAGAGAAATTTATTGAGATCCACAGCCATTTACACATTATAAAAATATAAATTAATTCCAGGATATATTAACCTGCGCCATCCAGACATTTGGACACGGAATTTGGACCTTTAGGAGATTAGCAGTCTTCTTCAATTAATGGTCCATGGCATACATAAAGCTCAACGTAAATTTCACACATAAATTCTGATAATCTCAGGGATACAAATACTGCTACTACCGCAAAAATTTAGGCACATAAAAATCATTAACAATTGAAAAATTGGAAGATAAGCACATTTGCGCACTGTATCTGATTCTCATTCATTCCGAATCCAAGACTATAAAAATCTAGAAAACTCGACCTATCCTTTTCGAATCCGGGAAAATACGAATATTGCTTGTATGGGTTTGTAGCATCTGAACTCGGGGTCGGTTTAAATTTGCGACGGAACCAGAATGAGCTCAAATACGAGTATCATGTGATCCCTGGACGGTTGCTTGACAAAAATAATTAAATTTGAGTCGCATTCAATCCAGGGTTCAGTTGCACCTCGAGAGATGACATTAAATTTGTATCATCTGAACCCGAATTCATTTTCGATAGATGTTGGTATATTTACACAAAATTAAAAGACAAGTATCAAGTATGAAGCTCCAGTCGCTTCACGCGTCTTTTCATTTGGTCAAGTATTGCTTATTTGGCAGTAATTATTTCGGACGGATGTCGGACGGAGATCGAGAGTAGACCCCCTGATACGAATCGGACGTAGTGCACAAAAGCTCTAACAATATTTTTACATGGCAATTTGTATTTGCGTATTTGATATATTTGGCAAATAATCACCTCAGCATGTGTGGCAAAGTATTTGCCTTGTTTGCCAATTCGACAGATACACCAAACACCAAACTCGCGTTATCGTGCGCTGGTCTGTTTCTTGTCGCACATCGACTGAGCTAAATTAATAAATTCGCACGTAAACACTATGATCATATTTATTATTGTAAGTCCTTATTTGGCTCCATGTGTAGACGGTCATATTTGTCAGCCTTTGCATGTGTATGTCAAATATCTTTCCAAGAACATCAAACACCCGCCACCAAACATAATGATGTCCAATTCAGGCACATTATTTTTCGTCTCCGCTTTAGTGGTGATCATCTTTTCAAAGTTTTATTGCTGGACATAATCCAAAGTAATGATTCGCGAGTTAACGATCACAGTTAAGCTACAATCCAATCCAATTGTATTTGAATTAGTTTAAAATCACACAACAACATCACAAGTAGAGCTATCTATTGAGGATCAATAACATCTACGTCAACTGCTAATTAAATCTGACAAGTTTCGCTAGATGGCGTTGTAATTAAAAACTAACCTAAAACTTTGGAAAGTTGCCACTACCTCTACATTACATCGACAGATGGCGGTGTTGTAAGAAAATATTTTTTTTTTAACAACTGAGCAGATATAAATAGCAAGGAAGAAAAAAAAGCTTCCATTATTAACTATAAGTATGGCCTAGAAATATTTCTCTCGTGAGTCTTTATGTGTAGTTCGTGGGATATTTCATAAGAGAAAATACTGGATCCCAAATTGGTGGTAAGGATAAACCATCTTCCCTGTTGAAATTGTAAATTTTTTAATTTCAATGGTCTCTCGCACTATCCTGGATAGGTAACGAACTTCTTTTGCAGGGACCTGGGTTTTGTCAAACTTAATTGAATATGTAGGTTTATCCATAGTATGCTCGCAAACTGCAGACTTGTTTACGCAACAGTATGACATCAACTATATGTTCTTTGACGCGGGTACAAATACATCGCTTCGTTTGTCCAATATAAGAGAGACCGCATTCGCAGTCAAGCTTGTAAAATTCTACAACCTGTAAAGGGATGTTACACGGGTCTCAAAAACTGAGAAATTTTCCTCAGGGCCTTGAAATAGGTCTCGATAGACGCATGTCTGGTCTTGATAGACATAAGACTGCAGTACTAATGTTTTAATGTATTCTAATTCCGTTAATGATAAATTTAATTTAATAAAAAATCATATCGTTATAATAAAATAATTTGTATGTAGCGTTAATTGGAATGTTCTTTGGAAAATTAATTTTTTTTTTTTGCATTAATATTAGACATAACTTTATCATCTCGTAACCCGGGACCATGGGACCTGTAAAGAGCCCGAAACGGTGGTTTGTTTGAAAAATGAATATACGCCATTTAAATCCGGAAAAATAGTTTCATTTCCTATGTGTAAAAATCGCGAGAACCTAAGAACTCGAAAAAAAAAAACGTTATTTTTAAATGTTATTGTTAGAGGAGCTGCAACACTCATACAAATCTGTTTAAGTTTAAGAGTGTAATGAAAACTATGTTCATGTTCGTGTATGGATCTGGTTTCAAAATAACGAGTCATATCATATCATATATCGTTTATTGCAATATGTGGTACAGTAAGGTCTTAAAACTAATACATAACATGATCCAACATAAACCCTGTAAGGGCACAGCAATTTGACTTACTTCACTAGGTACATTGTAAATTATTAATTATAATCGATGAATTCTTGCAAATTGTAAAAACAGTTCGGCAGTAAAAAAACTTTTAACTTATTAACAAACATAAGTTCCGTTTCAATATTTCGTATTATGAGGGGTATTTTATTATACATTTTTATTGCCATATGGTGTGTATCAGAAGATACAATGTGTAAATTTGTAAATGAACCAACCAATTTATTTCTTTTCCTTAATCTAGCTTTATAAGTATCATTACTTTCTTGTTCAAAGTCTTAACGAAATAACGTCGTCATTGCTCGATAATTTCTGTATTATTTATAATTATATTTAGTAGCAGTAGAGTTCGTTATGAAAGAGTTCATCCAGGGCAGTACTGCCACCTTACCTATTTCTGCTGCCAAGCAGTAATGTGAGTATTACCGCATTCCGGTTTTGAAGGGTAAGGGGTGCTGGTGAAATGTTACATGGTATTTTTCGACTTATCCGCTCACGCAATACATGCAGCAGACGCATACCACACCTAGAGGTGCCGGTGATGATTTTATACGGATTTATCGGATATCGAAGTTATAACAGGTAAAAAAACTAATATTAATTGCTATTTCGGTAACTACTCTAGCAAACCATAAAGTTTTTAATGCCTGGGTCTGTCATTTAAAAAAAATAAACAACTTCAAAAATACGTTACGACAATCGTGTGTGTGTTTGGGCTGGTGATTTCGGTGTTTATTTATTGAAAACATACCGTAAGTAGCATTTTTAAAGTTTACCCTGAATATAAATGTTTATAAACTATACTTTAAGGAGTAATTTCATGGTAAACGTTAGAACCACTCAAACGGAATATTATCATATTTATCCAAGTACACCAAAAATTTCATTAGTGCGTTTTAAGTGCAGGATTTGCGGTGTATTACTGCATTTTATTTGAGATGTTTTTGTTGGTAGTATGGAGGGTATTTATTTAGCAATGCAGAATAATAATTTTTATTTATAAAAACTTGTATTTAAACTGAATGCTTTTCTGATTTGCGAAACCAAATAGCCGCCATTTTTGCGGTAGAAGGAGCGCATCGCGTGAGCGGTTAGGCCTCAGGGTGACGAGCGCAGAGGCAGTACACCTCAGATCTTAATCATAATAATCATAAAAATGTCATTTATAAAGATATTTAATTTTTTCCGTATTATCGGTAACTATTTTTTTTTTTTGTTCTATTAATATGTTGTTTTGTATTAACGTTTGTGATTGTCAAATAAAGTTGATTTTATTTTATTTTATCTAGTTAAGGCGTATCTATATTGATATTTAATATTCGCATGACCTTGCCGCCGACTTTTGTTGGCGCCGACCACTCGAAGCTATCGTGTTAATCAATTAAATTAGTCGCTACATTATCTATCCTGCACGATTGTAAAGCAGTAATATTTTTTGAAGAGCTTACATAATTGCAATTATCGATTTCAAAATGTTTACGTATGTTATTCAAGCAAGCAAACAGTAAAGTAAAAGCTCAACTGCATACGTAGTCCGCAGAATACGTAAGCTTACCGCTGTTCGTACTGATAGACTAATTTACTTTAGTTACTTTTGCAATACTACATAGTCCTACTTAGATTCTCATGTGGGGTAAAACGACATACAAACCATATTTGTGTTGCAAAAACGAGCGATTAGTTACGTGTACCGTTTAGGTTCTCCGCTTTCTCTAAGAGAAAAGTTTAAGGAGACTGCTATCATGACTGTGGCAACACAGTACAATGCCTCAAATATTTTGTATATCCGTAAAAATATAAAGAAGCTATCCATAATTAGAACTAAGTCCAAATTTATGGTACCACGATTTCGTTTGACTAAGATAAACGATTCTTTTATGGGGAACTGAATACATTTTTACAATAACATTCCGGAGCATTAAGATTATCATTTCCTAACTTTAAAATTTACATCAAAGGTATTTGAATTGAAAAGTCATATTACAACATTGAAGACTAGGTACGTGTCAGATAAAGACGATAAGAAATTTGGATTCCACACAAATATGGTTCAAGGTTTATTCCATAGCATTTAGGTTTATTTGAAAAGAACAATCCCAAGAGTTTCTTGCTCGTTCTTCTCAGGGATGTCAGCATCGGCACAGTGAACGAGCAATGACTTAATAAATGACGATTCCACGTGTAAACATTTTACCTATGTACAGTACATGTATTACCTATAAACAGTAAAATTATCATAAACACTGAAAAGCTACTCAATATAATAAATACTAAAGTAAAACATAATGAAGATTCACGAGCCAGCAATTTTGAATTAGAATCATTAGCAAATTTTATCTACGTACTAAACATATTGCATGTTGTAAAATTTATAACTCCCATAAACGTAACACAATAAAAAAGCAATTTCCTCACAAACTGTCCGGGAATACGGTGTATTGGACGCTTTAACGCGAAATGGAAAAATATACACAAATATTGGTAACGAACAAATAAATAACGAAGATGACGGTGAAGGCTGAAGAGGATGTAAGTTCTAATATATTATTTATTACGATAAAGATAAGAATTAAAGCACCAATCAAAGATTTCTCCGGATCAAATGATAATAGCTTATGTGAAATTGAATATCATATAAAAAACAATAAAAGAGAATTTGGCTCGCCCACAAATGTAAGTAACATAATTATTAACACTAAGAAAAATTCTTCGATCCGTCTCGATACGAACCAGGATATACCGTTCCTTACGCTCTCCCAACTGTGCTACGAAACGAACACTACGAATTTTTCAATATTAACGACTTTTTTGCCGTTTTTGTTAGTGTTCGATATTTGCAGTAAAAATTATAATAAACTACCTCTAGTGTCTAATTTTTTTTTGTCAAATTGCTGTCGCAAAAAAAATTGAGGTCATAACCAAAACATTGGATGTAAAACATTGTGATAATAAACTTAATATCACACGTAACATAATGTTCAAAGATGGCGTAAATTTTTAATAAAACTCCCAATTTTTTAGTTCTCAATTAAATTAAAAAATGTTTTAGGAACTGCTATGGTTTTTTAATGCAACTATAAGTAGTGCGGTTGTTCAAATTTTTGCAATTACGAGATGTGTCAGAAAAGTTCCTGGGCTGAAAAATAAAATTAATTACAAACCGGAAAGAGTAAGTCCGGTAAGAGTTTTCCACGTCAGAGTACTGAGGTACGTTTTCCTCAATGAGTAAGAAGAGACGAGAGTTATGGCAGGACTGCTCGTGATTGCCTTGATCATTCGACATTTCCTAGTCCAGAAGACCCGACTTAGTTCCGTGCGATTTTAGCCTCTCGCCCAAGCTCAAGGGAGTCATCAAAGGGTCCCGTTATGAAGATGCGAACGGCATCAAATAGGCTGTCACGATACTGTGGAGAATCTTGAAAGTATCCTTGCCGGAGCGGGTATAGGCACAACAGGGAAAGATGCGAAGTATTAGATTCCAAGGGAATTACTTTGAGTTTTCCACTCAAAGTTTTGAAATATTTTTTGTGACAACAGCCCTAAGATTTTTTCTGTCAAATCTCGTATATGCGGAATTCGACAGTTTCTGAACCTTTAAAGCAGTTGTATAGGAAACTATGACGCCGTGAGTACATTAAATCATCATCAGAATGACATTGTGGTACAAGTACCTAAAGTAAATACAACATTTGCAAACAGACAATTCAGCAAACGATCGGCCCATTTGTACAATTTAATTAATAAGGAATAAGAAATATACGCCAAAAGTTATAGAGACTGCAAAAAAGTTATATCAAAATGGCTACAGTCGAAATCGTATGAGGAAACCGAAGATCTATTAGAACACTTGCTTTAAAAACACTACTTTCTTAATCTATGGCGACAGGCTAAGACACACACGCGCGCACAAGCACACACACACACACACATACACACACACTTTTTCATATACAATTGCACACACTTAAGATTTAGGATTCAAATTAAATGTAAAATTAGAAGTTACGACAGCTGAAAATTGTTAATAAAAATAATTGTTTGTTTTGTTTAGACGATGTTTGGAAATGTAAAAATTAAACACTAAATTAAGTATAAGTTAAAAATGTTAAATATGCATTTAAAGCCATGGAAGAGCGGTGCCTCCTGACACAGGCTTGATAAGCTTAATAGGAGTTACCATCCACTGTTAATGTAGTTAATAGTATTACTGAAATAAACATTTTATTTATTTATTATCATCATTACAAAATGTGTAATAATAAATATACAGAATTTTCCATATTAGATTTTCATAGAGATTTTTAGACATATTATCCAGATAGCCAATACTGGTATTATCATTCGAAGCATACCCATTTTCGATAATGCATTGCATTTGATAAAAGGCCTTAGAAAGGTTTACAAAGTTTTTGAATAGCAAGCAGGCGACTTAAACACCCATTGTTTTTCTACGTACAGGCGAATTTGCAGTTCCGAACCACAGTACAACGACCTTGATAACCGGTCAATAACTTATTTGCTGAATTTCAGGTGGATGAACCTTTGAGAACATTAAAACAAAAATGTGTGAATTGCCTGAAAGGACCGAATTTAATAAAAACAATTATCATTTTGACTTGCACGGTAGTCGTTATGCGACAGGTAAATATTCTTTAACTGTATATGTAAAATGTTAAGTATTAACCCGCATATGACACGATGAAGTACATATATGTAAATCAACGAATATAACACCGGAAAATAAACTAACTCTTCACTACAATGCGTTATGCGTTTTCCTCGTATTATGTCCTACGAGATTATCTGGGTAAAGGGGCATATATACAAACCATATTTGAGTTGCAAAAACGAGCGATTCGTTCTGTGTACCGTTTAGGTTCTCGGGTTTCGCTCAGACAAAAGTTTAAGGAGACTGGTACCTATCATGACTGTGGCATCACTGTACATTTACTCAAATATTTTGTTAAATAATTTCGTTAAGAAAGAAGACATCCATAATATTAACTTTAGAACTAAGTTCAAACTCATAGTACCACGGTTTTGTTTAACTAAGGTAAAGCATACTTTTATGGAGAACTGTATACGTTTTTACAATAAGTTTTTACGTGTTAGATAAAGATGTACGGAAAGACAAAATTAGTCTAGATTCCACACAATTATGATTCGAAGTGTATTTCGTAGCGTTTAAAGTTATTTGTAAAGAGCAATGTCTAGAGTTTCTTGCTCGTTCTTCTCAGGGAGGTCAGCCAGTAAACCAACAGTAGTTTAAAAAGTGACGTTTTTAAGTGTAATAATGTTACCCATGGAATAAATTTAGATTATTTGACTTTGACACGTAAATGCCTATTTGCTCTGGCCTTGAAGAGCTCCAAATTTTTGGTTTCGGAAAACACAGATATCGGCAATGTATTCTATTATTTTGACGGACCCATCATGGAGAACAACGCTTCTTGCGAATGGGTGATAAGTCAATATATAAAGTTGGACTGTTCCGGATTTTCCAGTTGACTGATTGTTTCCTAATCTTGTTCTACCTGTACTCTGAAGCTCTATTGTAAATTTATGATTCCTGTTACCAGTACACCGCTGGGATCATCGTTATCTTCAGCCAACAAAGGGTGAATATACTGGGCAACCTATAGTAGACTCTCAATGTGTCAAAATTCTTCGCTTTATTATGCTTCATTGACATGGCGTCCAAATTTGCAATTTCAATAACATACAATTTGCATAGTTTAATGCAAATTAATTACACTGAAAATGTAACCTGATTTACCCTCAACAGCCCATTATAGTTTACTTCTGGACATAGCAGCCTCATTATATCATTTATAATTCAGAAAGTTATGTATATTCACAGATTGCAGTGTGCGTGTTAAAATTGACAAACATGCCTATAACAACATACACCCATTTCGACTTCAACAAGACTATCATGTACCCAAGCGTTACTTTCTGCAAGGAACCAGCTTACAAGTATGATAAATTGATAGTAAGTGCACACAAAGAATGATTTATGTTACCAGCTAAAAAGACCTTTAAATTTATCTTTATTCTATGGTGTCGTCCTGTCATTAACTCACTCATAGTCCCGCACAATGGTAACTCTATGTCGCGGGTGCCATGGCCACCCACATAGACAACCGCAAATTACACGCAACCTCACGAGATAAATAAGTGGAGGCCGTACAAATATTTCTCCCAGCCCGGGAGTCAGATCCGGGACCTCTGGACCAGCAAGGTAACCGTTAAATACTATTGTAAGGAATCTAGACGGAAATCTAGAACGTAGATGTTGATATGCTTTCTTAACAAAATTAGAACGGATTCGATATTCCAAAAGTTTAGAATAAGATTCAAACGATTAGTTTAATAGATTTTACCAAATTTTAACAACGAAAATTAGCTCTTCCTGTATTCAAAATAAAGTTCAATTGGAACATGACTAAAACGTATTTATTTGAGTATCCTACAAAATGTAGCAACTACTATCGAAGTACATTTTTTTATCGGGAAGAGCTATAGAAAAAATTCAGTGTCGTGTTCTCATACAAACGCACGATGCCACAATCTGTAGCATTATTATGTATTAGGATGCAATAACTGATTACGGATAATATTGTTTATCAGGATTACGGCCTCTACGGTCATCCTCGTTACACATTAGCATGGGAAACTTTCAACTTCTCCGCCGTAGACCTTGTGGAGATGTGGAACGACATCACTCACGAGGCTGATGATCTTTTAGTCACATATGCCTTGGATTCTAAGGAGGATAGTAAGAAATTTTCCAGCACATATTATTGCCACACTCTTAGTAATATCAATATTGTTAACATAATACATTCATATTATCACCAAAGTTGAAGCCTTGACAGTCCCACAACAGGTTTGCAAGTGGTAGATTATAGCTAGCCTCGTCTCTTATTTAATTGACCCATTTTTTGGGAAAACCGATAGTTGCTGATTGTCTACGCCTATACAGTATACCTAGTAGACAGGCTTGGATTGTCTTATAGAAAAGATACATAAGTGTTAGTGGATTATATCTCGATCAGATTGGGGATAACCTTGAAAAAGACCAGGTTAAAAAAATCGAAAATTAAAGGATATATATGAAGGGACTGATGCGAGTGGAGGAGGCGGAAGAGGTTTGTCAGATACCTAGCGAGTGGAAGTTCAAGGTTTCTACTAGCACTAGTGGGGAATGGAAAAGACGTAGAAGTGTGCTACGTACCGACGTGGTGCTAAAGATTAATGTAATTCTCTGATATTGTTAGCAATAAATGATTTCATTTCATTTTTCATTTCATTTCATATTTCTGAAGACCCTAAAACTAATCTAAATTGATCAGTGGGATACTTGGCATCGGCTCAAAATGTCAAGAAAGTGTTCCGGATTCCCTCCCAGCCTACTTGTCGCCTGCCGCCAGCGGTCATGCTATGATAACTGAAACCTAACTGACAACCTATTTGTAGCCTAGCGAATCACCTGATATCTGTAGATTTACAGTTTAATCTTGTAAAGATGAAGCATATAAATTTCTATATATAGATACCTACAATATAATATGAACTGGGAACGTAACAAGTCATATGTTTGGAATTATACGCACCGTCTCTGACTCGGGTCTCTGTCAACAATGAACATCGACTCGCTACGGTTTTGGCAAACCTCTTGCTCTGCTCCACCGCAGCAATCTCTTCATACTGTTTTATTGTAGCTATATTAGTAGCAGTACAACTCACTGTGAAAGAGTTCATCAAGGAGGTACTCCCATCCACCACATCTGTTTCCAGTTTTGCTGGTGAAATTCCAGTCACGTGGGATTTGTCAATTTTATATCTCAGGTAACGGGCACAGAGGCAGTGCCCTTAAGATCTTTGCGATTTAATGTTTTAAGTGACACTGCAACTGTTATGGATAGAAGGCGAATGCGATGGAAGGCGTGTCGCTCAATCAATATAAAAAAAAAATTGCCGTTTATACGTGATACTTTTAACTTGATCTTTTAAAGAACGTTGATTAATATTATTTTCACCAATTTCTGCTTTATAGACATAGAAATTAGTTCTACAATAGGCTTCTACCATGGGCGATGTCATACACTCGTCCCGAAAGCACCCAGCGTACGTGCGTCACATAAATCCGGATATTCAATAACCCTGAAGCATACCCAAGACGAAATCGATAACATTATCAGCGCTCACTTACCTGGGTTCCACGTCTATATTCACTACACTAGAGAGCCATTTACAGGTTAACAAATTTTTTTTGTTTATGATGTTAAAATCAACATATAGTCAAACAGGCATTTGGAATATTAAACATCTTTATCGTCATCAACACTACTAAGCTAAGTACTGGTCCTCACAAATATAAACGTCTGAGTCGACATGCTAAGAAGAAGAAGAGAACACCACTATACGTCACATTGCTGGGCATGGATCATCTCTAAGGAGACTTTTTTGTCAACCTTTTATTACGATGTTTTCCTTCGCCGTTTCAAAAAAAGAAAGACGAGAGGGAATTGTTATTCCAACTAGTATCACATTAAGATCTCTCTATTACAGTTAGTAGATTCTTTCGCATGACCCTGGTTTTTGTGTTAGAATACGAAATATACTTCATGCTTTATAAAAAAAAATACTTTCCTACTCGCGTATACAACGAACAAATTCTATTGAAATGTTACATTCTTTCCATTGAAACGTTTTGAGTGATCTCAGAATGATCTGCAACAAGCACATCGAAAAATTCGTAAGATCCGCTAGTTCGTTCCGTGTCTTAGTTGGCAAAGAGTCTGGCACAGTTTGCTAGGAGACGTTGGTTCGAATCCAGTCGGATCAAAGTGAATTTTTATATAATAAATATGAATATTTTTGTAGAAGTGGAAGTATACAACGGAGGTCTGGTGGATTATTTGTATATTAATACGGGAGAGACGGTGACAGCGAAGTTGACAGTTAACGAGTACGTTAAGACTGGCAAAGAAGACGGCCTTTGCACTGATGCTGAAGGATACAGTGCGAATATGGTAAGAATCAAACGACCAGTTCAAGAATGGCAATGACGTGCTATCTGAGCTTATGATAATTATATTTCTGCTGTAAAGTCAAAATAAACACTGTCGATCTGTTAATTGTGATAAGCTGCTGCCGTGTCAGACGTATCTCATGTATCTCACGAAACCTGGTTTTGAAAAAACGCTGTTTAAAGTTTTGTTTCGTAATTTGCGAAGACTTATTTTACGGAGACTTTATGCAATTATTAAAAAAAAACGTAAAAAGATTGGTTAAAGCCTAAAGTATACGGGGAATGTTTCAAATATCTGAAAAAGTATTAATTTTTTTATTTATTATTGATAACAGAGTTTGGCGTGACAATTTCCCCATACAAATTAAGTAAATCGACTATATCTTAAGATAGAATAAATATAATAAAATAGAATTATTACAAAGTGACTGATTTTTTAGATAAATGTGGACATGAAATTAGTGCTTAATGTATATGCATGTACAATGTAATAATGATGTATAAATATTTTATAGTTTGACATAGATGGTTATTATTTTGTTGTTTTTAATTGACTGTTTATTTTTTGTTGATTACTGATATCGACATGAAATTATAATGTGTATGTTTAATGTAATAATGATGTATGATATTTAATAGTTTAACTGGTAACAATATCACTAAATTATATTTAAGTAAAATTTTCCATGCCTAGTCAGGTAAAACATGTGTTCTGTAATAGTTGTTCCATCCCATGTTTTAAGCAAATAAAATTTCATCATTTCACTAAAATATATAGCCTAAAACCATATAGTGACAAATATATGACAGGCAATATCATAATCAATTATTTGGCCTAATTTAAAAATATATCCGTATTCCAGTGCACCACGCAATACGTATGGGACCTTGTTACTAAAGAAGCCGGATGCTCAGGGCCCTGGATGGTTAGTGACAAACCTCTATGTAATAACTATGAAGACATGAGAACTCTGATCAACCTTTACATGAAGTAAGAACGAGTACTTGTTTTACTATTAAATTAAACCGTGTATTTGTTATCCAGAAAAAATGTGTCAGGGCTATATGTAGAGTAGGTCCGCTCGAATCTTGTAGACCGTTTTTTAGGAAGCTTAATCTTCTAACGCTTCCCGTCATGTACGTGTATGAGGTACGCATGTTTGTTAAAAAAAACTTGGTCTTATTTACTAGGAAACGTGAAGTATGTAATTTTTTAACTAGATATCCAAACCGCTTAGCTGGCCCCTCCCATTACACTACTTGCTTTGATGGGAATTGCTATAACATGTCCATTATACATGCTTTGCCTGCAGCAATCTCAGATTTAGCTACAAAAATATTAAAAAAAAGTTATTTGACTAGTTATATGATCTGTGTTTTTATGACTCACTGATTTTATTGCTGTTGCTATTTATTGGTATTTTTACTTAATTTTATTTGACAGATTATATAATTTTAATTTATGACATTATTTAACTTCAATTTTAATTTTAATATTTGCCTACCAGTATCAGGAGTAACGCGTGTTCATGACACCTTGTATAATAATATCTTTTGTTACCGTGTTTACTTGCGAATATATATTTAATTTCATTTCATATTATTTACTATTGCCAGTGTACTGTCACATTACCTATTACTGTCGTAAAGCAGCACACTGCACTGTGAACATTACTGCTTTCCGGTGTTGAAGGGGGTCGGTGAAATTACAGGCCTATGGGACTTATCAACTTATGTCTAAGGTGACGGGAGCAGTGGCAGTGCCCCTTGGTGATTTAAAGCACTGAGTGGCATTGTAACTGTTATGGATAGGCGTTGTTCATCTCGTCACTTGATTTTATAAATAAAAATTGTAATATATATATAATACAGTATTTGAAAGTTTATAAGTAGAAAATATTGTCGAGAGCCAGAAATAGGTAAGGTGGCAGTACTTCCCTGGAGGAACTCTTTCCACGAGGAGCTCTACTACTAGCAGTAGCTAGTACTTATACGTTTCCAGGAACCACGAGGACCACGATTTAGTCCCGGACTGTCTAACATTCTGCCGAGCGTTATTGTACAACACGTACGTCACAGACAGACAGAAATACTATTTTTGGGATTCTTTACATTCTCAATGGTCGTACAGAACGCATGACGCCAAATTACAATCGCAGGTATGAAGACATGTAAATAAAGAATGGATATTGTTTGTAGTTACTACGGCCAACCGAAGCCTATCTAAAGACTTCCACATGAGAGAAGACTCTCAGAGATTTTGATAACAAATGAAAGTCCGTTGGTTCGTTCCGTGGCTTAGTTGGTATAGCGTCTGGCACGGTATAATATAATAACGCTCACACTCATGTATGCAAGAAGACGTCGGTTCGAATCCGACCGGATCGAAGGAATTTTTTCTGAGTGTTTTTTCTGAGTGTTCGATCTTAGTATCAATAATTATAACAAACTAGTGGAGTAATTTCACAAAAAGTAATCGAATATCAATTCAATAAAAATTTAATTAATACAGTGAATAGCGACATCTCTCGCCAGGACTGGTAGCTGTAAAGGTACTAACTGGGTGATAAATCTATCATAGATTTCTCATAGATGGCGCTACGACTAAAAAGTCGTTGAAAGACCAAGTACAAAGACACGACGCAAGCACATAGAAAAATTCGTGAGGTCCGTTGGTTCGTTCCGTGGCTTAGTTGGTATAGCGTCTGGCACGGTATGCAAGAAGACGTCGGTTCGAATCCGACCGGATCGAAGGAATTTTTTCTGAGTGTTCGATCTTTGTATTAATAATTATAACAAATGAAAGTAATTTCAATTTCAGCTCTTCATCCATTTTAATTCCAAGATGGTGTCTGTTTATAACGAGCGCTATACTTACGACTGGAATATATTCATTTCTGATCTTGGAGGGAGTGTTGTAAGTACATTTTTTTACGATCTTGCAATACTGGCTTAAGACAACTATTTCAGTTTTGAAATTAAATTTGATTAAACTGATGCAAACATTTGGTAACGTTCTTGTTGCGTTATACTAGGTTCTAGTTAGGTGTAAACAAATATTTGAATTGTATATAATATATATATGCTACGGTAAGTGTGATTAATTGGAAATTACTAATAATTATCAATCATTATTAATAATTACCGACATTCGGTGTAAAAGTTATATATTAATTTCAATTTAGAAAATCGACTGTGCACTGACAACCGGTATTATCTAAATTTTCTAAAGATTTCACTTTTTAATACCATTTCATATTATTGCAAATTCCGCAGCGTTGCAAGAAATTCCATTGTTTTTAGTAACATGTGTAATAAAAATGTTTAAATACTACGTATTTTTATTTCATAAACCAGATGCTATATAAATGACGCAAACAAGTTTTTTCTTCATCTTGTAAATTTGTCAAATTTGAGAGAGTACCGGTTGCCAGTTCACGGTCGAAATAAAACTATTTTTCCGGATTTAAATCGCGTATGTTTGTTTTTTCAAACAAACCAACGTTGTGCCCTTTACAGGTCCTATGGTCAATTTATTTCTTTAAACAATCATTCCACAAATAAAATCTGAACATTGTTATTGAAACGGCAATTTAAGTTTGTAAGAATACCTCACTTGTATAACTACTGCGATTTCTTCTTCCACGCCCCCACCGGCAATGCAATATATACGGTTCGAAGGAATTTTTTCTAAGTGTTCGTACTTTGTATTAATAATTGTAACAAACTAGTGTGGTAATTTCACAGTAAATAATTGAATATCATGACGGTGCAACTTCCTGACATTCAATAAACTTAATTACAATTATTAAAGCAACATTTCTAGTCAGCTGTTGGCAACTGTAAAGGTACCTACCTGGTTGAGTGAAGAAATAGATTTCTCACAGATAGCGCTGTGGCAAAAAAGTGGTTGAAAAACCAAAATAATAAATTAATTAATTTTACCGGTGATTATTAATAATTAAATCTTAGTTAATTGTAATTAATTTAATTGTTTTATTTGTTTACAAATAAAATTTCGCCAACCAGGAACGAACCTTTCGGTTTCTGATATGGTATGTTATTCAATGGGAAAGCAGCAGCGGTAGGAAGAGGAGCGTGACGCGCCGATGCCAAATAAGTAATACTCGACCAAATTAACTTTATTAGCTTTTAAATTCGAGTCGAGTATTACGTAATTATTTCCGACGAACGAGAGTAGACACCCTGTTTGCGTTTTTGAGCTACTTCGGCCCCCTCCTGAACCTAAACCAGGTTAGGTTAGTTTAGTATATGACAAAGCTGAACCAGAACTGAATTTCTTTGCGTGTGCAATTGAAATTGCAATAGCGAGTTTTAAGTGATGAATTTTACAGTTTTTATAGCATTTACCAAATTATGAGGTAATTATTAATAATGACCGGTTATTATTCATATTTATTACATTAATTACACTTACCGTAACATTTATACATGCTTAGAATAATAACGTTTAGAAACCTAGTGCGCACACGCTAAGTGCGGCAAATTGAAGCGCTCCCAATGGGCCTACACTAGAGGGCGGGCCTTCAGTGCTCGGATCAAGAATTTTAGCTAAAAATGACGAAATGTGCGGTAATTGAGTGTAAAAATACGTCAGACAAACATAAAAAAGATACTAACATCACATTCCACAAGGAAGTAACGCGTTTCAACTTGTATTTTTATATAAATATTCACTAAAACCGAAAATTAACCTACTACTAAAACTAGCCGACATGAATTTGATTTTTGCCTCACTTGTGACAGTTCGTTTGATATGAAACTATCATTCTATGCGTTATTATTCTAAGTATTTCAGAATGACAATACGACTATACTTTTGGTACAAAAGTTACAGAATAAAAATAAAGAAAATAAAATGAATGAATGAAATGACTACATGATATCTGCTAAGTTCACCGAGCTCCCAGGACATGAAGTTCGGTGAACCTAGCAAGCAGATCGGAGTCCCACATATACCCTATCATTTTAAGAACTCTGAGCTCTTTCGCACTCTGCGCGGGCGGGTAGCCACCTTTTTCGCATCAGTGTGTAAAAATCCTCTACACTAGGGTCGGCAAATATACCCGACGCACTGCAGTGGCTAGGAAGCCCAAACAGAGCCCTCGGGGCCTACCATAACCTTTCCAAAAACAATCTTATTTCAATGTAAGCTTAAAGTAAGCTTATTGTAATACTACTCATATTCGTAATATGACGAACCTGTCAACCAAGAAATGTATTATTGCAAAAGTGATTGAAAGAACGAATGATTACCCAATATTGTCTATTCCTTACTACAAATAGGAAAGAAATAACGCTATATGAACTATATAATGCCATCTCTTTCGTTTTTGATGTTCCGAATCATCTTATCGTAGTATAATGCTTGAGTATTTGATGTTATTTACATTCAGAGAATGTTGACTGTTAAAAAAAGAAAAGTATGTAATAATAAAATCTATTTATATATATAATTATTCCGCATTTTCATGAACAAAAATACATTAAACAAGCTGAGTTTTGATTCGGAACTATAGTCAAGTTTCAACTGTTAGTTTCGCCAAGGAGCATATAGATGCGCTGTTATAATTTTACGCAATAAACATCGCGTATTCTTATTTAACGAAAAATTATTTACTATGTGCTAATAAATAAAAAATAAACAAAATATTGGAGAGATATATGTAAATAAATAAGTTCTACTTAACTTTTAATCATTACAAATTAATATTAAGACAATGAAACTGAAAATAATATCGTTTCCATTGCATCCGTGTAACTATTTTAAGATTGCTGAATTTGACATAAGAGCAATATTACTTTAATGTTAAAGTCGCGTCATAGTACGAACTGCGTGAATGAATGATCACAAAGCTGCCAATAAAACATCATAGTTTTAACATTACAATAAGCTTACTTTAAGCGCGTTATGGTACGAGAAGTCAATGTAAGGTTAAAGTAATATTGTTTTAAGAGGTTGTGGTAGGCCACCAGAATACATTATTATACAAAATACGTAGCGTGTTGTAAGCCTTCTGAGTAAAGCTGACCCATAGGCTACTTGTGTAGAATGTCTAGCAGTATGCTTTTGACTTCAGCTGTATAACGAGCAAACCTATAAGCCAGCATATTACCCCGAGCCTACAAAGCCCTGAATTCCCTTTTTATGTTTAAGTTGTCATAAGTTTCCCGTCACTATAGGTATGCCCAAGGTATCTTTTGTTAATAAATAAATTGTTTAGCTAAAAGCAGGTTAGAATAAAACGGGATTTGAAATTGAGTGGAGGGCATTAGCCCTCCACTCCAAAAAATCCCTCTCCGGACTCAAGGGTATACATAAAGCATTTCCCCTCGTGCAACAAAAAAAAAAGACTAATACCAAACCACTGCTTTAAGTTAAACAATGTATGAGTTATTTAGGCGTGGTTCTTTCATTCTTTTATTTACAGGGTTTCCTTCTCGGCCTCTCCGTGATAAGCATCTTAGAGATGGTGAGAAAGATATGGTCTTTGATCATCAGTCCATTGATCAGGAGATCGAGGTTAAAAGAGGAAAGGGACTGTGTCAGCGTCAGTGGTTCCACAGTCACAGCTCAGTTGGACATGAATACGGACACAAAATTCCTCCATAAATGGGAGCATGAGTATGAGAAAAGTATTTTGAAAGATTATATTTAATGACTTGATCTCGATTTTCGGTACTTGATTTGTTTTTAATTATATTATCCGAGCATTAATTTTGTATTTAATTTTTGTATTAATACAAAGATCGAACAAACAAAGAAATATTCCTTCGAAAGGGACTCGAGCTGGCACGTGTTTGCCAGTTCAGGGATAACTTTAGTATTATCATTTATTTATTAAGGTGAGTCACCGGAGGAGAATTGGGAAAAACTGTTTTGCTTTGATCAAATGGTTTAGGTGTTTACTATTAAATAATGATCTTACGAAAAATATACAATACGCCCAAGGATATTGTCACGCTGACCCAATATAGGTTGGTACAAGGTTGTTGCTGATGTGCGCGCTTCTCAGTAGGCTATGAAGGAAGGAATAGCTCATCTTCTTCCTTCTTAGCGAGGTGAGTCCGGAAAAGGTTAGGCACCGCTGGGTCTTGGAAGAATGCTTCGACGCCCCCAAGGTCCGGCACGTGGTGCTGAGACGGGTGCCGCGAGGTTTTAGTGAGCAGGAGTCTCATATAACCTTCCGTCTGTGTCCTCCCTAGACTTCCCCGCGTCAAAAAAGGGTTGTTGCTGATGAAGCAATTGCAAGCAGCCATTGACTTACAATTATATGGACGTCGGGTCCGCGCTAAAAAGTGTCCGCACTTGTAAGGCGCTAAAATCGTATACAGAGCGCCAAACTCCGCTTTAGTCTTCATTTGTTCGACTGACAGCGCGATACTACGATGACATTACAACTTAAATTTCGAATAGGTTTACTTGGGACATTTTTTTCGTGGTTTTTGTATTAGACCCGTCGTCCATTTATTTGTAAGTCAATGCAAGCAGCTGATTTTTTGAGCTTAACATCAGCGGATACCAATGCGCATGCTGATTTTATGTATTTAAAAAAACGCGAAAAATGTACATCCTTACTGAAATGAAAAAACTTTTTTTTGGATATTGTAATATAGTATTACCTATTTCATTAATTTTGTGATATTTGTAACAAAAGAATCAATCTTCATGAAAACAATAAAAACTGTCTAGCTTAATCGTTTTGGAATTTTTTCAAAGTTATATTTTAAGAACAATACCTGAGCTGCTTTTTAGGATTACAATCTGTTTCTGAAAGATTTGTAAATTATTTCAGCGTGCCTTTTAGATCACGTCACGACTCGAATATTCGCAATGAATATCAGCATCAATCAATGCTGGCTTCACACATTTTGAAGTCAGCATTCATTCAGCACAGCCTATGGTTGTAAATCTTATTCGACACATAGATTACATCACAGTGTTCCCTTTCATCATTAGCGGGAAGTATTGCTATTTTTGCCAACCGGTCATAAACGTGCGCGAGATGAGACTCACGGGAAGACGACACGGCCTAATGTGACGTCACGACGAACGGCATAGGTGCAGCGGCACTCGCCTTATTGACAGCTACCGGCGACGGTTAACACTACTACAATATTGTATTTGCAATCCAAGCTGTATAATTGAGACGGCGAATATGGCAGCCCTATTGTATCTTTCTTCATAAGTGTTGTTTGTTGGGACAGGGACCTTCTCAGTCCTAACCCTAGATCAGCCCGTTTGCATAGACTTCGTGTTAGCATCACTGGCGGAGGGCTTGGCCCGAACGCCCGCCGTACCCTGATTTTACTGGGGAGCTCGTAGTCTCCCTGGAACTCCCTATCATTTTTTCCACTTTTTGTTTTACGTCTCTTTACATAACCCCTATCGTCTCGTAACAGCTATGAAACATCCACAAATGTACGGAAATTATAAATAGTTATACGGGATTATTATCGGGATTTCAATCGTCCACCTTTCAGATGAGAAGCAATGGAACTCTAATTAAGAGCTATACTTCAAAAAGTATAATAGAAAACCTTGCTTTTACATGTCAATCAAGAACAGTAGGCAGATGTGTACGTTCAGGATTCCAAACGCAACGTTAACTAGTTGATTTATTCTTCGTCAATCATTCAGCAATAAATAAATAATGAATGTTTACCAGCGAATTGCGAAAATGTTTGCCGGCACGCTGTATTGCAAAATCATTGTACGCAAAATGAGTTTTATAGGTGTACCACAGGGAGCTAGTATATGGCCTTTATTTTTTAAAGTTTACCGATTAATACCCTAAGAAAGAATCTCCAATGCTCTTATGCCTTCTACATAGTCACTTCTGTAAACTATACTTAAACCATTATCATAGTCTGCCGATTACAGACCTTCACTTGCCAAGACCCTAACGCGCTTCTTTCGCTTCCTTCACTCACATTAATCTTTTTGTATGTCCTCAATCTTAACGAATATATATATATATACATCTCAACGTTTGCGAAACTACACATACATTTGTAATTTTGTTATTGTCACACTAAGAACAACAAGAAATGTACTGAACTCAGTTTTAGTAAACTGGTTTGTTGGTACAGCGGCGTACAACAAGGAAGTGTTTTAGAACCCATTAGTGGCGTACAACACGGAATGATCTTGAGCCAACGTACTTTTAAGTCTGTAGTAAATCTAGCAATGACTGTAAAAATTTTATCTGACTTCGCCCAAGAGCTAGATTTACAATAATTACGTCAATGTTTTACCATCGTACCCGTATAACATGTTTTCTTTGATGTCTAAACGCAGTCGGTCGATGAAATGCAGTGACGTCACAATTTGTGTAAAATGTGTGTAGAGTATTAAAATTTGTGATGATCTAACGTTTATTTTTTAGTTACAGACTGTTATTTTCATTCGAGAAGGTAGACGTTTCGAGAAAAAGGAAGTTAGTTCATTTGTGCAAATTTCTGAGCCTATAAATTCCTCTCATCTTTAAAACTAATGGCAATCCATTTCGATAAGGTTTGTAGTGTGAAACCACCGACTCCTTATCTTTATCATCGCGTTCCTTGGAAACGCAAGGGCGTCAAGAATCAAGAAATGTCCTTACTTTTTCCGATTCCTGACGCTCTTGCGAGTTAGAATTGATATTTACTATAGAACAAATACCTAAAACACCTGAAGTCATGTCTGATTTCGATATCTATGTGCACTGTCAATAAAGCATTTCACGGGTTGTTCCGCAGGTATGGTCTACCCCCTTACTTACTTACTTCGGTGGCGCAGTGACCCATAGTGGATCTTATTCTCCGACACCAGATTCTGCCACGCCTCTCGGTTCTGAGCTTGCTCCTTCCAGACATTAGCACCGAGGTCCTTGAAATCTTTCTGGACTTCATCGCTCCAGCAGTACCTAAGACGTCCGACCGGTCGGTTGTCCCAAATAAGCCCTCTTCGCGGCACGGTGTTCTCCCATTCTCTCCACGTGTCCGAACCGGCGGAGTCTCGCAGCGTGAGTTTTTCACGATCTCATATTTCACAATTCTTTCGTATGACTTATAAAAATGGGTTCTCGCAGGCGTGAACTAATATGTAAATGCAGTGTATCATGAGGAGTTGAAACGAATAAGGATAATCATCAACATCATGCATTGAAAAGCATAACTACCACGCAGACTTATTTAAAGGTTGACCCTGCTCTTGACGTTAAGCATTGAGAGCCTAAATCCAATAGCCAAGACAGTAAAGCAATAAGTAGGTACCAGAGAAATTGCCAATAATTCACGCTCACTTTAGGAAATCGTTTAGAAACTCATGTGTAACTAATGGGAATTAGATTCTCTTCAAATTTAACTTAGGGTGGTTATCAGAATGCAAGTGCAGTATAGCCGTTATTTACAAATAGAATAAGACAGAGAGTGCATTAATAATATGAAAGATGGCATGACAATATCCAACTAAAAAAGTTTAAATACTAGTAGTGTAATAATAATAGTGAATTACACTAATATTTCTGATTTGTGAAAATTTGTCTTTAAAATAAAATGTATAAAACAATACACAGTGTGCTTCATGTGCAACAGTGTAATATACAAAGTTGATGATTAATACGTAATAATTTTAAGTAATGTCTTTTTAACTTTTAATTTCTTCTTGAACTTGTGTATTGCCTACAGATGTCCTATCTGTTCAAAGATTTGCAATATTATACAAAACTGGGGCCTGAAAAGTATTTCTCTCAAGACACTTGTGGTATGAAAGGTGATATAGTGACCATATATATACATTCTAACTTTAAAACAGGTCATTCAAAAGTATCTGGAAAAAAAACCTGATACGAGAGAACGGATATTCAAGAAGCAGGTAGTCCATGAGTTCAAGATCACAGACCTCCATAGATGTCCATGAAAAGAACGATGATTGATAAACAAACATAAATATGACAAAAAGGAATTTACTGACTATGATCCAACCGGCTACCAATGTGTTCGAGCAACTGAATCTGTTTCAGTTTTATATCCCCTGCAATTGCACCTCTTGGCAAACGTTAAACAATTGCAATGCAGTGACGCATGTACGTGAGATAGTCGCTACATTCATTGACTCCTGCGGTAAGCGTTTTATGTAGTGTAATACGAATACAGTACTGTTCGTTGTTACTTGTAAACATAATATGTTCGTCACCTTCTATGTAAAAGACAAATATATTTCCTAACCTCAACGTCACTAGCAAAATTTCATTGCTCAAAAAATTTTAGATACCTTTGAGTAGAAGCTGCTTAAGTATACATTTGGCTATCAAATCTACGCCATGTATATCCCGTAGATTACCTAGAACTCAGTACAGCAAATGTGATTAGGTTTAGGCTTGTCAATCGGGTATAATCAATACGCAATGTGCTATCCTCAAAGTGTATTTTTTCATCTCTATTATTGAAAATGATGTTCGCCTCTCCTATCACATTGTTCACGTCTTAAGAGTATTAGTCACCCAGCAGCGTGTCGATAACCCAAATAAATGACAGCCCATTTAGTCGCTCATGATTGAAAGCTGGGTTTCTTTCTACGCATCATCAAAGACTATCGGCTCTAAGGTCGATAAGACATTATCATATTCAACCTAGCTTAATGTATTTACTGTTGTTTGAGCCGCTTCTATTTCAA